CACCCCCAACCCCCCCACCCCGACTTCTCCTACATTTTGACTCCCCTCCCTCCTCCCCGAGTAGCTCGACTTTCTCCTGAGTTTCTGCTTCAATCTTTGAAATGCCTTATACCAAAAATTAAGAATTAAGGATTAGGCAGACACCGGATTGTTCCTTTGAGTGTGAACCTATCAGTGTGTCGGCATGCATTGTGTAGTTTTTGAGGGACCACTCTCAAAGCTAATTTCATTTTTATATACAAAAAAGTGAATTGAAAATTTGCAAAAATTTAAATGAAAATCTGGAAGAATTTCCTCAAATTGCCCTCAAACAACATATAATATTTCAAATTTTCCAAGGGATGCTCCCCGCACCCCTCGTAACAAAAGGGAACCTATTCCATTCCCCTAGACCTCCCTATTGAGGGGACGGGTGTGCGACTTGATCACGGGGGAACTTGTATGGATTCAAAAGTTTTTTTCGGGGGGGGGGGGATGGGCACCACTGATTGCGAACACGCACCATTGCATGATTGGTACAGCGATGAAGCAAAATGTCTGGAAAAATGTCTCTCCGTGGACAGACTAGGCTCTCCAACTGGCATATTCTTTGGTTTATGAAGCGGTTCTGCACGAAATTCCTTAAAAATATCAAGATCTGTTCTATAATGTGTACCGACCACATCGGTCACCTTTTGAGATCTTTGAAAGGCAACAGTTATGAATTTCTTCGAAAAGCCTCTTTGAAGCCTCCAGTTGAGGCGAGTTTCCGCAGGTGAATTGAATCGACTTATTCAACCAGATTGGCGGGGTGGCAACCCAAAGGTGGAAGATGCTCTACTGAAGTCCAGAACTAAACTTAGTTGCTCGATGAATTTTGATCAGCGTTTCCATCCATCCACTTTTCGATCCACCTCCAGAGATAGGTCGAGAATTTTGAAGTTGTTAAAGCTGCCAGCATGAAAACCACGTTTTGCAGGCAAAGCGTCGCCCAGGGAGAATTTCGTTTTTTTTTGTAACAGAGTTTGGCAGTAAGTCAAACACACTAAGAAAACCCACTCGCAAAAATTCGCATTTAATGCGTGAAGAAGAGCCAAAAGGCGCAGCTACCCAAGTAGCAGTATGAAAATATTTTATGAAAAAATTTAGAAAATGAAGAAAAAGTAGCTAGCATTATGGAGAGCAGACAGAAAATTTAAAGTGAATGCCACTACTTATTAAAGAAGAAAGGTCTATTTCCTGTCTACAAAATGGATCTATTTTCCGTTTAGAAAATTGATAGGGCTATTTCCTGAAGACAAAGTATCCAAAAACCTGATGGAAAATAGAGAAAAATTGGATATTTTCTTAATCTATTTCTTTAGTGTAAAATTCAGAAAAAAGAGAGAATAAACACAGAATGTAGACAACAAAATTGTCTGTTTTCCTTGTATTTATCCGGAACATAGACATAAAATATAAGTTTTTTAATAATTTTCTTACTTCTGTTTTATACATCTATATTTTCTTTCCATTTTTCTTTCTAGAAAATAGACAATTTCAAAATTAGTGCTAGACAGAAAATAGAACCCCATGCTACTTGGAAGGTGATACAATGTGCAATGGAGTAAGACTGAATTGATTTTTGAATATTATTTGTTATAGAGCATTACTTTACACCATAGTAGAAGATCTTTTAAGCAATTTTGGCATGGATGGCCGAGCATGTCTCCTGAGAGCCATCTGTGAAGTGCATGCCCATAGTTACCTACATAGATTTGGACTCATCGGTGAGATCCTCAAACTCTTCTTCACGTAAGTCCATGCTCATTTTATCCTATATTATTATGACTCAGTTCTTCACAGAATTGACGATTTCCGAAACGACAAAATTTATGTAAACACGATTTCAGGAGAACCATGATGGTCGATGGAAACACTAAGGAACAATGTCTAAATCTGTTGGTATACTTGGTGGTCTTGATGTTGGATGTTGTGAATTACTAACATTTTCTATAGCATCATGCGTCCTTTCCCAAGTAGCAGTGATCGCGATAAATAGCGATTTTAACGGTTAATTATCGCGATTATGTAGGTGGCAATTTATCGCAATATTATCGAATGAAAAATTGCGATTTATGGCGATTAAATCGCTATGCATCGCAATTTTTTTCTGAATAAAATCGCGATCAATTTTCGTCGATAAAATCGAGATTAAATCGCCATGTATCGCGATAAATTGCCGGGCGATAAAATCGCGATTTTATTGCAACAAGATCGAGGATAATCGCTCAGATGTTGATGATCTTAACGATTTTATCGCCGACAAAATCGCAACAAATCACGATTTTTCCGTTGGAAAATGCTACTTGGGTCTTGAAGTTAAATTCTAAATCCATACCTAACATATATAATATATGGGACGCGTAAACGAAAAATCACTTCGGACCAAAAACAACGAAAGCTTGTGAATCTTTTCTTTAATTTTTCATGTTTTTCTTTTAATAAACAAAATGGGGAAAGTACGGATTATACTTGGATAAGATATAAGAAATTAACTACATTTTTGAAAACTCTTGGATCCCCTCGGAGCCCCTTTTCACGTTTAGGGTGTTCCTCAAACCTTCTGCTTCCTTCATGGAGCGCTTAGGTCGATCTCACGCCAATTTAAAAAAAAAAAAAAAAAAAACAGAAATCCTGATCTGCCTGCTGTAGGTAATCCTGAAAGCTACTTTTGTCATGGGAACGGAGTTCCCCATGATATTAGAATCGTTCCGTTGCTTTCGCTATGGGATTCCCTATACCTCTGCGACCTTGAGCGTTTCGCCCAGTCTCCGATTTTTGGTTGATTTTCCTATGTATCAAAAACCGTTGTATTTTTTAGCCAATCATGTCTCTACGTCAAGTTGTGTTGATTGCTAAAATTCGCTTTCAGCGAGTTTTTTTCCACTTTGAGATGTCGTGTCTGACTGGTAAATCTGCGCAGAACCACGAAGTTCCGTTTTT